AAGAGGGAAGAAAATAGAGAGAGGAGGAGGAGAGAAGGGAGAACAGGAGAGAAGCAGCCCTTCCTTAGCTCTGCCAGTGGCATAACTTCCACCCAGCCAAAGCTGCCCAAGGAGGGCCCGTGCCCCAGGTGGTGAGTTTCCTGTCAGTGGAGGTGCGTGAGCAGGGGCGCAGGCCCGCTGGTTGGGGCTGTGGTGGAGCACTGGCGTCCTGGCCAGGACAGAGTAGAGGACCTCGGCGTCTCCTGACGGCTCTGCTCAGGTTCTCTGAACATTGTTCTTTTTCCAAAAATTCATCAAAGCAGCCGGCTGTCTAAACCAGTGAGGTTCAGGAATCTGTCCAGCCTCCCGCCTACCCTGTCCCCACTGCCCCCCCTGAATAAAAGGCCCACGAGAATTGGGTGAGCCTCATCTGACCCTTCCCAGGGGTGCCCACCCTCCTCACCCTGTTTCCGCATGCAAGCTGGCTCTTCCTTCCCAAAGGGACTCCTCATACTCCTTCACATTGCTAGGTGACCTTGAGCAAGTCCCTGCCCCTCTCTGAGCTTTTGTTTCCTCATCTGTCAAATGTAGACCGTGTTTCCCGCCTGGGCTGTCCCGGGGCTGGGGTGAGGGATGCTGTGTACAAGTTGGTGCTCCCTAAAGCTGAAGTGTGAGCCTTCCTAGGCCCGGTGCTTGACCTTCCTCCCAGGACCCACAGCAGCCATGGCACTGGGAGCACGTGCAGACAGGAAAGGTGACAGTGGCAAGCCTCAAAGGCCACCTCCATCCCAGTCCTGCCACAGGGCAAGTGGGCTTTGAACAGGATCCGACTCTAAGATGCTTCCAGCGAGCTTCCAGAGACAAATGGCTCTCAGACAGCTCAGGTCCCACAGCTGGGCTGGGCTGGGCTGGGCTGGGCCGGGGCTGACTCTTGGCCAGAGGCAGTTCTAGCCCAAAGGAAGGAAAATGAGAGCCCCTGCCCCATTCCCGAGGCTCACAGGGATCGCAGACAGTCCCCAGCCTGGCTCACGGTGCACCACAAGCTGCCGATGGCAATGTGTTTGAAGGTATCCACGCTGTTGCTCTTCCCCCCTCCCCTCGCCTCTGTGAATTATCATGAAGAGTTCTTTAAGAGTATAATAGAAGACAAAGAAAGATGCTATTAATGTTATTTTGCCAAAAATATTTTTGTAGCATAATATATTAATAAAAGACATTGTGAATTCCACGGCTCGGTGTTTCTGTGGGCTGGAGACGGCCCTCCTCCCGCCGGGGCACATTTGGGGGGCATTGCCTTTGCTGCCAGGGCTGGAGCCTGAGCTGGCCCAGGTCCACTATCCATGCAAAGAATTGGGAGGGTGCTTTGAGCAGGGACCCTACCGCTTGAGAAATCTCATGCCCAGCAAGGTCTGGATGCCTCCAGCCAGCCCAAACTGCCCACAGTTGAGGACGAGGGGCTGCTTTAGCCACAGCTGGAACCTGGCGCACCCTCAGGGCCACCTTCGCTGACTCCCTCACTCACCCAGACCTCTGACTCTGCCTTCATTCTGCCCTTGCCGCCATCCGCACTGCTCCACCCTGGTCCAGGCCTGTTATCCAAGCCCCTGTCCCTCCAGCAGGTCCCCTCTAGTCCACTCTCCCTTCTGCAGCCGACATGACCTCTGAACCACAAAACCCACCCTGGGTCTCCCTGACTTTTCAAGTCCTCAGTATCTCCCGGATATTGACAATCTCACATGTCCCTCCAGCATCAAGGGCACCTCTCACCATCCTCTCCCGGGATTCAACACTCCAGTTGCCACCAGCCTTGCTTGCCAAGTTCACCACGCCCCTCACCGGCCCACCTCTGCGCATCACCACCCAAGTCTTTCATGTCTGCCTCGCTCGTTGCTCTGGTTAGCATTGCTATGTCCCGCGTGCCCGAGCTCCAGAGGCATCTGCTCCACGAGGCTGTCTCCAGCACCTCTCTGTCCCCCAGCCCCTGCTCACGGCAGCACCCATGTGGTGTGAGAAGACAGCGTGTGCTCGCCCTGCCCCTGGGCTCCCAAGTCAGGGCTATGGCTGTGTCTCTGTGTCGTCAGCCCCGAGCGTGGTGGTGAGTGGCATGCACCCACAGAGTCCCGACGCTCTGTACATTGTGGAAGAGCAGCGGCAGGAAAGGTGAGGAGGGGGATAACAGCTTGTCGCCCCATCCTGGCGGCATACCAGACGTCCAGTGTCGGCTGGCAGAGCTCTCTGCATGGTGTCTGTGCTGCACGGTCACCAAGGAGCACTTCAGTCACTGGAACCTGGGCAAAGGGAGGCAGTCACTGAAAAGCCTAGGGCTGAAGAGGTCTCTGTTTCTAAACTCCAGAAGCTTTCCCCAGAGGTGATTCTTCAGCTGGGGTCATTCAATTCTGGTGGCTCCTACTGTAAGGAGCATGTGGTGACCTGCCTCCAAATAAAGATAATAATAATGTGAGACCAGCAGTTGGCGTAATGGCTATGTCACTGGGCTCCCATGTAGTCAACTGCAGTTCGAGTCCCGGACCCGGTGGCTTAAACTCACACCGTGTGCATGTGCATGCGTGTCCAAAATCCCAAGAGGAGAATGGAGAAGGGATTGTGGCATGGCCATCCCTTCTTGGGGGTGATTTTTCGCTTTCTGTCTCTCTCTTTCTGGCAAGCACACGGGCCCTATAGCAAAAACCTCTCCCAAACAAACACACAAACAAAAAAGATAATACTAATGTAACTAAAAGCTAACATTTCCTGAGCACTGATTATGTATCAGACAGTGCCCTGTGCATTTACAGGTATTAAACATTTAATTCTCCCAACTGCTCTTCCTCATCCCATTGGCAGATGAAGTCACTGAGACTCAGAGAAGTTAAGTGACTCAGCTATAATCACACAGCTTGGAAGCACTGGAGCTGGGACTAGGACCTAAGGTGTCAAGCTCGGGCCTGTTCTCTTCACTTTCACCCAGCGATTCTGTGCTACTGGGTGTGGCCTTGACCTGTGGGTTGGGCAAGGAAGGCCTCAGAACCCACATGTCACGGGCAGGTCAGTGAAGTCAGGACTCTACTGAGACCCCATGCAGTGAGCCTCTCCCAACGTCCCGGAGCCTGCCCAGATCTTTGTCCCACCCACCCAGCTCCAGCCAGAGCTCTGAGGAAGAAGCCCTGCCCCTCTCCCTGCCCCTCTCCCTGCCCCCATGAAGTCCTAGGGTGGAC